TTACAACAAAGACAATACTACAGGCAGCCTATTCTAGCTCACAGAGTTGCTGAGAGGATAAAATGGGATAACTCACATGTGCACAGCCCTAAACTTCTCAGAGGGATGGTGGAATTGTGCATGTGAGACCGATATACTTTACGTTGAGGCTTCAGCACTCCTACTGCTTCACTAGGTGCGGACTTCATAAAATATATATTATTTCCCGTTCAAACTGTCTAGTTCCAGAGTAACTTACTCTTTTGTCTTACCTATTTCATGTACAACTTGGCCTATAAACCGCTAGGGGAGGGGTTGACTCAGTGGTAGAATATCTGCTTTGCAAAAGGTTCCACATTCTACCCCTGGCATCTCCAGTTTAAAGGATCAGATAATAGGAAACATTTGTACCTGAGACACCCTGGAGAGTCGCCAATACTGACTTTGGTAGCAATACTGACTTTGACAGCCCAGGGTCTGATTCTGTAGAAGACCGTTTCATGTGAGTTCATGTGCTATAAAAAGGCCTCACAATACAGAGCGCAAATACAATGGAACAAACAAACAAACTTTTTGCTGCTTATTATATAGATCAGACTATCCAAGTCCAAGGTTTTGACTACAGATAAAGACATTTTTAAATCCGTTTGACTAAGAATTGGCAGACAAGTCAGCAGGTGTAAGGTTTTGAAGCCCAGTATCTAGCTGCCTTTCATCATCAGAGATTTTGATATCTTTTATTAGCCTACTAGTTATGTTTGCATGATTCAGGCCGTATGCCTCAGAATCAATAGCTGCTTATGAACCTCTCTGTTATCCCGGACTTCGCTACATCATAATTGTCTGTGTATCTTATTTAGTCATCTCGCTACAATCAAGAATTGAAAATGCAATTCTGTAATGCAGCCAACTGAAAATCACTGTTGATTTTGTCTGCTCATTTATTAACAGGCTTACACACTCCCCATGGAGTTCCCCCATCCCCCTTTCCCTCGCTCTCCTACGGCTAACAATAACATACACAGTTTGCCCTTCTCTTTGCTAGCCATAGGAAGATACACAGGAAGATTAAGAAGTGTCATATCAGAAAGGAATTAGAAAGAGAACTTTGCGTAAACAAGATTTGTTCTGGATTTCCTGGGATTTCACCCTTACAGAACCTCTGATGCCAAGGTCAAGTTATCAAAATGTTCAAACCTTCTTTTTAAATGTTTTATTACTTCTGTTGACCTTTATTATAAAGGGCTATGCGGTTGGATGGTGATTCAAGTGCTCTCCCAAAGTCTGTTATTTCTTTGTACAATAATAATGTACCTTCAGGCTTCAAAGAAACAGCTTGGGCATTCTAAAAATATTGTGTGCGTCCAAAACTGACCTTGTCATATATAAAGTCCTACCATCTTCTCTTTCCTCCCTTTTAAGATACAAGAACTATAGCTATGAAATCAAATTAATCTTTCATAATTCTCTATTAAACACAAGTATGCTCTAAAAGACAAATGTTCAAAGCCAAGCCCATTTTCAGTTATATTGGGTTGGATTTGGGTTGCTATGATCGTGCTGGGGGTGGAGGATCTCCTGCTCCCAGTGGGCCCTTCCTGCTACCAATCACCAGGATGGTGGGAGAAAAATGGGGGGGGGACAAGGGGGTGATCACTAGTGTCACAATGCACTGAAACATCTTCAGCACTACTAGAAATGTCATGTGGCCCACAAGCATTTAGTCAAACCTCTGTGGTTTTTCTGGGGCAACCCATTGACACAGCTATGATACAATTTAATAGTAAATTTCAGAGGACTCCATGTAACAATTAAAGGGATCCATGAGGGTCCACACTTTTGCAAAGCCACAGGGTTCTCCTTCTGGGTTTTTTGTAGTGCAGTCCCATGGGTGTACACGTGATGTGCAATTTTACAGGGGGGTTCAGTGGAATGATTGCAAAAATCATAAATATGCAATTTTTAAAAATTCCATTTTTCCACCATGGAGGCAAAACAGAGCCTGAATCTTTTATTTTAATGTTGTCCCAAGGATCTGAATTAATTACAACAGTAATTTTGGGAGTTTCAGTGTAAGTCATAAGAATGTAGGAAGAGCCCTGCTGGATCAGACCAGTGGTTCATCTAGTTCAGCCTCCTGTGTCACACAGTGACCAACCAGTTCTGCTGGAGGTCCAACAACAAGGGATAGAGGCCAACGCTTTCCCCTGATGTTGCCTCCTGGCTCTGGGATCCAGAAATGTACTGCCTCTGAATGTTGAGGTTCCCTTCGATTACCATGGCTAGCAGCCAGATAGACCTATCAACAATGAATCTGTCTAATTTCCTTCTTAAAGCCCACCACGGGCTTTGTGGATTGAAATGAGGAATTTGCTGCCATTTGCAGTGATAGCCACTATAACTGCGAATGGCAGCAAATTCCTCATTTCAATCACTCACAGTTTAAAGTTAGATTCAGGTGGGTAGCTGTACTGGTCTAAAGTAGCAGAACAAAGTTTGAGTCCAGTGGCACCACTGGACTCAAACTTTGTTCTGTTTAAAGAAGTACTTCCTTTTGTCCATCCTGAATCTACTGCCCATCAGCTTCACTGCGTGCCCGCACGTTCTAGTGTTTTTGGAGGGAGAAAAAGTTCACTTTGTCAACTCTCTCCACCCCACGCATAATTTTATGGATCTCTATCATGTCCCCCACAACGGTCCCTTTCCTAAAAGAGAAAATCCCAGACTCTTCAGCCTTTCCTTATCAGGAAGATGCTCCAGCCCCCTAATCCTCTTGGTTGCCCAATTCTAAACCTTTTCCCAGCTCTACGATGTCCTTTTTGAGATACGGTGACCAGAACAGCACACAGTATTCCAAATGAGGCCACACCATATATCTATACAGGGACATTATAATATTGGCCATTCTATTTTCTATCCCTTTCATAATAATCCCCAGCACAGTTTGCCTTTTTCACCGCTGCAGCACACTGGGTTGACACTTTAATTGAGCTACCCACTATGACTCTAAGATCTCTTTCCTTCTCAATCTCAGCAAGTTCAGTCCGCATAGAATATACTTGAAGTTGGGCTTTTTCCCCCCAATGTGCATCATCTTACACTTACCAACACTGAACTTCATTTGCCACATTGCTGCCCACTGCCCCAATTTGTGGAGAATCTCCTGGAGCTCTTCAGTCAGCCTTGGTTTTCACCATCCTGAATAATTTTGTGTCATCTGCAAACTTGACCACTACACTACTCACCCCCCAATTCATGAGCAAATTAAAGAGTACTGGCCCCAGTACTGATCCTTGTGTGACCCTACTGCTTAATTTCCTCTATTCTGAGAACTGCCTGTTTACTCTTACTCTTTGCTTCCTGTAATTTAACCAATTTTAACCCATAAGAGAACCCATCCTCTTATCCCATGACTTCTAAGTTCACTCAGCATTTTGAGACTCCAAGTACATAATGTCCACCAGGTCACCATTATCTACATGCATGTTCACTTTCTCAAATAACTCCCAAAGGCTAGTGAGGCAGGGCTTCCCTTACAGAAGCCATGCTGATTTTCCCTCAGCAGGTTTTGTTCCTCTATGTGTCTAATAATTATATATTTGATTAAAGATTCAACTACTTTGCCTGAAACAGACATTAGGCCCCAAGCCTGGTCTGCCTGACAGGACTGCACCACCCAGTGTCATCAGACAGGCCAGGGCCATCCTGCCTGGCCTCACTTGCTGACCAGTGATGAGATGTAGCTTCAGAGCTGCAGCCCAACTAGGCTCACCAGTGGTAAGGTGGGGCTGGCCTATCCAGGCTCACCACATCTGGTCTTCGCAAGGGGGGTGGGGTTGCCAACCTCCAGGTGACACCTGGAGATTTCCTGCTATTACAGTGGATCTCCAGACTACCAAGATCAGCTCCCCTGGAGAAAATGGCAGCTTTGGAGGGTGGACTCTATGGCATTGTATCCCACTGAAGTTCCTCCCCTCCCCAGGGTGGAATGACAGCCCCTGGGGGGTAGCAGGGGTGTTCTGAGGGTGGAATGACAGGCCTTATGGTGGAATGCCAGCCCCTTGGAGTAGGAGTGTTCTGGGAGTGGAATGCCAGGCCTATCATTACAGACCCAGGACACATCTCCTACCCCCTTGGGCTGTCATTCCAGTCCCAGAATACTCCTGCTAACCCCAGGGGCTGCCATTTCACTCTGGGGCCTGTCATTCCACTCCCAGAACACTCCTGTAACCCCCAGGGGCTGTCATTCCACTCTGGGGCCTGTCATTCCAGTCCCAAAACACTCCTGCTATGCCTAGGGGCTGTCATTCCACTCCGGGGCCTGTTATTCCAGTCCCAGGACACATCTCTTACCCTCCTGGGCTGTCATTCCACTGTGAGGCCTGTCATTCTAGTTCCCAGAGCAGTGTACTTGGGACCAGAGACCTTAACGGAAAATCCATTCCACGTTTTCTTTGCGACTCTTCTTGAGCTGTAATGTATTTCAATGGAGCCCATGCAAGTCAATTGGCATTTCAGTATTTCCAATGAGCCTTCAAGTCTCTCCCTGAAACATTGTTGTGCAATAAACCACTTGTGTTTATTATTTAGAAGTATGAGCATGGCATGGCAGTACCACACAAACATATAATGGCAGGCCCCCTGAGAAAAACATTGCCCCCCACCGCAGCAAAAGGCTGTTAGCTATGGGGCTGCCCCTCTCTATCAGCCCCCGCTATCCAGCCCTGTTTCAAACAAGCTGTTTGCCTACTCTGCTGCAGCCCTTATAAGAATTCTTATCTTCCTGTCACCTTTCCAGCCTCTTTGCAAACTTGAAGGGGGCAAACGAGAAGCGCCGCGTCGCGGGCTGCACTCAAGGAAGAGAACGCAAGCCGGCCCGCCTCTGCCCTACGGGGCAACAGGAAGGCGGCACGCGATGACCAGAGCGGCCTACGCCGAGCCCGACGGAGCAGACGAATCTCCACCCACCCGGCTGCTCCACGGCGCGTGCGACTGACGTCCCTGCAGTGCCGGGAGGCGGGCGAAAGCGAAAGAGGTTTTGAGCCGCTGTGCGGGGACTGAGCATGTCGAGCCGTGCTAACAATGGGAAGCGGCGGGTCCTCGTCTAAGCTGTGGCCGTCGGTTCTACTGCTGCTGCTGCTGCTGCTGCTGCAGGCGGTCGGGGGCTTAGCCCCACTCAGCGCTGGGGCGTCTGACCTGCCTCTGGTCATCAACACCTGGGCATTTAGGAAAGCTACAGAAGCAGGTGCTGTGTACGTGCGTGGAAGGCTTTTCCCAAGCAAACCTTTCTTACGCTTTTCTAACCCCCGCAGTTGACGTTCTTTCCGTGCGGCTTTGCCCCATCCGGCGAATGCCAGTAATTTGCTCCAAATCTAAAGGTGAACTCCCAAAGATTCTTGAACCCAGTTGTGTGCCGTGGGCTGGGAGGGGAATCATACACGAACCTTAGAAGGGCTAGAGAGCCACCCAGCTCCAAAGCGCGGAGGAACTGTAAGAACCAAACAGCCCCTGTCTCGGAGCTCCCTTCTTCCCAAATCGTGCCCCAGGCGCTGAGGCAGTGATGGTGCAGACAAACACATCGTGGATCAGTAACGGCCCCCTCATACAGTGGGGTAGAGTATATAGGCTATCAGATCTTGGGTGATGAAGGGATCACCTATAGGGGTTTTAGTCTTCCAGGTGTCCCATGCCTTCCAATAGGATTCTGTCCTTCGGTTTGCAAAACCAATCCTGCAAAACATGGTAGCTGGTTGTGGTTGCTCCGTGGTGGAGAGGAGATGCCCTGTTTATATCAAATTATCTTTTTTAGTAATGTTTGAGTATGAGCATTGAAAAACGTTTGTATTGAAAAAATAAGCCCAGGGTCCAAGCTGATAATTAACACCTCCTTTGTCTAGCGGCTTTGGCAGCAAGTCTCTCCTGAATACTTAGCATTGCTTGCTGAAGCTTAGGTACCTCATAATATCTGTTGACCCTATGCCCATCCATGCCCAGTTTTACTAAAGTTTCACTGCCTTAGTGAAATAGGGATTCTGATCCACAATACTAATTGTTGGGGGGGTTGATTGGATAGTCTTTACTGAGAAAGAGTGCAAAGGTGTGCTGCGTAGGTTGTCTTCTGGGTCAGCTGCATCTCTTGCGCCACTAGACCTCAGGAATCTCTGTGGTCAGCTGCGTGGCATAAGTTAGGACGTCTGTTATCAGCTGTTTTTGACATTTGCTCCACGGGTTACACAAAAATAAGGTTGGATAATGCAGATAAGGCCTGTTTTCTGTGTGCGCCTTTGTGATTCTCCACAGCAGTGAGAAATACAAACTCTTACTGTAGATTCCTGAACTGGGGTGGGGCCATGCACAAGGTCCCAGGTATAATCAGTTGCTGGGATCCCCAGTTGAAAGGATCAGGTGATGTGGAAAATCTGAGTGCAGCAGAGCTGCTGTCAGGCAGAATAGAGATGACTGACCTTTGTTAGACCTGTGGTCTGATTTGGTAGAAGGCAACTTCATGTTTTTGTGCCTCCATGGGAAAAACAAGGGGTTTTTCTTTACTCATGTATTTTCATGAAGCTTTTGAGTCCACCCTGTGTCATATGAGATGTTTTGACTTAGGCCGTGAAGTAATTTTAGTGTCACCAAAAGTTCTCAAAACCCTCACTCTGACATTGTAATCCATCATGTAAGTAGGTTAACATTGTGGTTTTGCCACCCTATTTTTTAGCAGCCCCTGTTCCTCTGCCTTGAACAGAAACTTGACACAGAAGACATGAAGTATTTCCCATCTCTCCTTGCCATGCCAGAAAAGCTTCCCTTTTAGTTTAGTGTGTGTTGTGCTGTTAAAGGAGCAAGGCCAGTTTAAAAAAAAAAAACCCAAAAACCTGTAGGCTGGCAACCCTTTGTGCAGCTTGCTTTTACTTCTAAACATTAATGAGTTCATTGGAGACTCAAGCCTGAAAAGAAAAATGAGAACAGACACGCTGAGGTCAGACAAATGGCCCATTTAATTCTGTAGCCTACAAACGAACAGTGGTCAGTGCCAGATACGGTAGGAAAAAATATACAAGGAACAGGGAGATGGTATAATGTGCCCTTCCTCCCGCCCACTTAAATTCTAGTAGCCTCAGGTTTTAAGAAAGCTTGGAAACTGATATCCTTTGACCATCTTGCCTAGCAGCGAATTGCATCCAAGTGGGTAGATGAATTTCAAGGAAATCCCCTAACACACGTAGACGCCTTCAAATCCGCAGGACATTTTAAGTGTTTAGAGGAGCAGACCTAGTCCCTCTCTCCTGCAGCTGATGCTCAGATCTTGTTAGCACACTTGCGTCAGGCCATCTAGTGGCGATGGGGGAGAGGTGAAAGAAGACATTTTTAAAATGTATAAATGATTATTTTTGTGCATACCTTGGGATTAGTATGTGCATCGAGATATCCTGACCATGTCTGAAGGGCCCTGTTTTGCTGCCATTATGCTACATATTTGACAATGAAGTCTTTATTTCTTTTATTCACTGCATTTTTGTCTTTGATTTCTACAAAAAGTGCTTGGGGCTATGTACAAATTAAAAAAATATATTAAACAGAATAACGATAAAACAACAAAAGTTGTAGCTGTAACATAAACCAATAAAACTGTACGCCTTCTGTCTTAAATAAACACACTATAATAGACAATAAAAACAAATGGAGAAACAGAGTGATACAAACTGGGCCAGTAAAAATTAAAACCAGGTCCAAAATAAAACAATCTTAACCAGTATTTGGAAGCCCCATAGTGTGTGTGTGTGTGGGGGAGTGACTGACTACGTTTTCTGAGGTAGAGAATTCCAGTGTTTTGCAGACACAGCTGAAAAAGCCATCTCTCATGTGCCCACTAACTACCCCTCAGAGCTGGTGTGCAGAGGACTTTTCCAATAACAATTTCGTAACTGCTTCTTTCAAGGCACTCTGGAAAGGACCTTGTTGCAAAGAGGCATTAAGTACCTGCCCTATCCACTGAACTTCACTGACAACATTATAGTGCAGTCCTACATAGACTTACTTGAGTTGATTTCAGTGGGCTTAATTTGGGGGGTTTGGTACTAATCTGTGTATACTTGTTTGTTTACTGTATGAGATTAGGTAGTCACTTTGGGGTCAAGCAGGAATTTGGGAGGGGGGCTGTCTCTAATTTGCCTTGAAAGAGTCCTTTGTTCTGACTGACAAATACTGTATTACGGTGAAGGGGTTTATTTAAACAGGTCTAGTTAGCCCTGTCGAAGGTGGCAGGTTCACTGTGGGCTGGTGGTTAATTGGCAATTAAATTAGGAAGAGTGGCCAACCGGATGCTTCACGTCCTCTTGTCCAAGTCTCCCTCAGTCCATGTCATCAGTACTGAACTGTCATTCTGACTGGCTTGGGGGGGGGGTGGCCTTGATGGTTTGCAGCTTTCTACACAGTTTTGGTGTGTGGACATGGTGGTTTGGATATCATCCTATGCTTGAAACCAGGGTGGGATTGGCTGTATGTTGACACACACATTGGATGGCCTCTAGGATGCTAAAGATTTTCCATAAAAGACTGCAGAAACACTGCAAAGGACTGTGTTTTCAGTTAACCACTAGGGGTGGGAATAAAAGTGGTAGCCCTAATTTCTACAAGGATTTTGTCCCCATCCCCTGGTTATACAAACAAAGCATGCTCTTTGGGGGATTATGATTTAATTATTTTTGTAATTGTTGATGAGCATTCATAAAAATATTTGCCGGTACACACAAACACACACATGCATATTGTGTGATATTTTTCAGGGATGGGAGTTGTAGTATGCATTTTAAAGATAGAATTGTGCTATGTTTTCGTACCATCATATCTTATACCTTACTATATGATGGCAGATGCTGTTATTAATTGCAGCTTGGAGCACGTTACAGGCAGGGGACTCTGAACTTGATGCTGTAGAGAAAGGTTGTGGCCAGTGTGAAATTGAGCAGTGCGATGGAAGTGTTGGGTATGGAGGAAGTCCAGATGAACATGGAGAAACAACATTGGATGCAATGATTATGGACGGGTAAGAAATCCACAAGGAGAACACATAAGTTTAATGGATATAGGGAATCTAATGTAAAATCTGCAAAATCTTTTCTGTGTGCTTCAGTGGAAGAGACCGTTTTGTACCTGCTGCCACCACCATTTTCTCATTTGAAGTTTATTTGAGGTTTTCTTTTTAATAACCTTTTCTTTTACTTATAGTCTGCCTTTCTCTCTGAGATTCAAGGCATATTACAAAATTATAAAAGCAATGCAATAAAAGAAAACCATGTGAGGCTGCGGCCACACACACTAAATAATCCACTTTCAGTGCACTTTCCAACCAATGTTCCCTCTAAGCTGTGGAGTCTTGTGAGCAAAAATTCTACTTTGTGAGCTCCTGGCATTAAAGTTGTGAGTGAGCGATTTGGTTACTGTGTAAATTAGTTTGCTCTGGAGCCTTCCTTCCTGAGCGAAGACAAAAATCTGTGAGCTGGAGGCTAAAAAACTTTGAGCTAGCTCACACTAACTTATCTTAGAGGGAACACTGTTTCCAACTGGATTTTTATTGTGTGAACTGACAAAATCCAACTGGAAAGTGCATTGAAAGTGGATTATTTAGTGTGTGTGACCACAAGACATACCATAAGTAATGCAACAACTAGATTACAAACATTAGAAAACAATGCTGTACAGACAGTATATTATATACAGTACACTACAGCTCAATTCTTTTTATAAAAACGCTCTCCAGAACAACAGAAGTGTGGGAGCCTTCTTGATTTCCTCAGACAGGCTGTTCCACAAAATGGGAGCCAAAACAGATGTGTGGAAAACTATTGATGTCACCCATCTACTGTGTGGTGTTTTCAGAAGACTTTGATCAGATGAATCATAGAATCATAGAATGTTAGAGTTGGAAGGGGCCTTGCAGGTCATCTAGTCCAGCCCCCTGCACACTGCAGGAGTGTAGCTGAAAGATAGCCCTACAACATACCCGAAAGATGGTCATCCAGCCTCCGCTTAAAAACGTCCAGTGAAGGAGCATTCACCACCTCCCGAGGCAGTCTGTTCCACTGCTCAACCACTCCTACAGTTAGGAAGTTTCTCCTGATATTTAGCTGGTAATGACTCCCTTGTAATTTCCACCCATTAGATCTAGACTTGCAATCCGGAGCAAGAGAGAATAGATCTGCTCCATCTTCTACATGACAGCCCTTCAAATATTTGAAGACTGCAATCATGTCCCCTCTAAGCCTTCTCTTTCCCAGGCTAAACATACCTAACTCTTTCAGCCTTTGCTTGTAAGACTTGGATTCAAACCCTCTCACCATCCTGGTTGCCCTCTTTTGGACACGCTTGAGCTTGTCAACATCCTTCCTAAAATGTGGTGCCTAAACTGGACACAGTACTCCAGGTGAGGCCTGACCAAAGCAGAATAGAGTGGAACTACCACCTCCCGTGATCTGGACACAATGCTTCTGTTAATGCATCCTAAGAGCAAAACTGTTACAGAAGGGCATATTGGGAGAAAAGTCCCTTAGATACCTGGAACCAACTACATATTTAAATATGACATATATAAACTGCCAGCGTAACATATCTAAACTACCAGTGCAACATCTTAAGAAAACCCATTACTCAGTCCTTTGCTAGAAGCAGGAGAACCAAGCAGACTTGCTCCTTGTTCACCTTATTATTTGATCTTGCTCTCAAACAGTTGTATCAAGGGAATAAAAGTCACAAAAACAGAAGTCAAATTAGCATTGCAATCCAATGATGCACTGTTATTTTTAAAAGGTCCAGAACAAAGAGTCCCAAATTGATTGATTTTATCACAAAAATCTGGAAATCTCTTGGGATATAAAATTAAGTGGGAGAATTTGGGGGTTGGTCTAGCTGCTCAATCTATCAGGATTGCATTGGCCTTCAAATGATCAGTCCATTACAAAAAAAATTACCTGTAGGAAACAGCCCCAAAAATTAGAAGCCAGACTCAGTTTTCACAGGCTTGTATTTTGTGTTTTTATGGCCGTATTTTTCTAATCATTGCTTCCACAAAACCTAATTTTTACCTCTTCACAGTTTCTTGTAAATTTATTAAAGCTGTGATAGAAGTGTAGCATGTAAGAAAATAGAGGGGTAACCCCGGTTTGTCATAGACACATTAAAAAAACTAGCCTGCAATCCTACCTACCTTTCATCCTATTTGCCCTAATTCCATTATTGCTTTCAAAAGCTCTGTTTAATTGAATATTGGAGCCAGTATAGAAAGCAACAGTCCCAAATTGATTGATTTTATCACAAAAATCTGGAAATCTCTTGGGATATAAAATTAAGTGGGAGAATTTGGGGGTTGGTCTAGCTGCTCAATCTATCAGGATTGCATTGGCCTTCAAATGATCAGTCCATTACAAAAAAAATTACCTGTAGGAAACAGCCCCAAAAATTAGAAGCCAGACTCAGTTTTCACAGGCTTGTATTTTGTGTTTTTATGGCCGTATTTTTCTAATCATTGCTGCCACAAAACCTAATTTTTACCTCTTCACAGTTTCTTGTAAATTTATTAAAGCTGTGATAGAAGTGTAGCATGTAAGAAAATAGAGGGGTAACCCCGGTGTGTCATAGACACTAGACACATTAAAAAAACTAGCCTGCAATCCTACCTACCTTTCATCCTATTTGCCCTAATTCCATTATTGCTTTCAAAAGCTCTGTTTAATTGAATATTGGAGCCAGTATAGAAAGCAACCATTGAATCGTGTAAGGTTAAGTGAAACAAAAAATGACAAGAACTTCATGAAAATTTATTTTTATGTCATATATTCTGATAAATAAGCTTTGTACTTTAATTGAGAAATGCAAACAAAGACTACAGTAAAATAATTGCTGAACTTGTTGCACTGGCACCTGATTTGTCAAACTGTGAAATAGATGACACAACAATTCAAATATTTAGGGTTGTTAATCCCTAGAAATGTAGGGGAAGAGGGGAAATGGAGGGAAGGGTGCAGTGGGAGTTTTCACAGGCTTGTATTTTGTGTTTTTATGGCCGTATTTTTCTAATCATTGCTGCCACAAAACCTAATTCTTACCTCTTCACAGTTTCTTGTAAATTTATTAAAGCTGTGATAGAAGTGTAGTATGTAAGAAAATAGAGGGGTAACCCCCGTTTGTCATAGACACATTTTAAAAACTAGCCTGCAGTCCTACCTACCTTTCCTCCTATTTGTCCTAATTCCATTATTGCTTTCAAAAGCTCTGTTTAATTGAATATTGGAGCCAGTATAGAAAGCAACCATTGAATCGTGTAAGGTTAAGTGAAACAAAAAATGACAAGAACTTCATGAAAATTTATTTTTATGTCATATATTCTGATAAATAAGCTTTGTACTTTAATTGAGAAATGCAAACAAAGACTACAGTAAAATAATTGCTGAACTTGTTGCACTGGCACCTGATTTGTCAAACTGTGAAATAGATGACACAACAATTCAAATATTTAGGGTTGTTAATCCCTAGAAATGTAGGGGAAGAGGGGAAATGGAGGGAAGGGTGCAGTGGGAAAGGGGAATTGGTGGAAATTGCCAGTTTAGTCTGGATCCAACTCAATGCTTTGTTCTTCACAAGGCACGTGTTGTATTATGTGTTATGAAACTTGGCATACTCATTTAAGTATTCCTTGCTGTATGTTTATCTGCCTTTTGGTGTTCAGTTTTTGTTTGTTTTTGTCTAGCAATACTATGAAAGTTGGGGCAGTCGCAGATCTCAGACGGATAAAAAATGCTATTGGCGTGGCACGAAAAGTGATGCAACACACTAGGCACACCTTTCTGGTTGGAGAGTCAGGTAACTTTCAGTCTGCTGTTTTGAAATAATAGTTTTAGATCCATGCAGTAGTGAAAAACAATGGCCCCAGTCTCGCTTAAATTAGTATTAATTGGATCTTATAGAAATCAATGGAATAAATTAAGTATAGCAAACTGCTTTTAATGAGAAATAATCAGGGCTCATTTTAGCTGGGTAGCTCTAAACTGAACTTGGTGGCTTATTTTTTCCCTGTTTATTATACAGTCTGACCCTGTGTATGTTTACTCAGAAATCGAGTCCCACTGAGTTCACAGTGATTATTCCTCAAACAAGAGCAATCTGTAGTTGTCGATGATAAATACAACAGTGACCAAAAAGATGTTGTTGCCAGTCTTAAAACTATTTATATTAGGATTTTAGCATTAGATACATATTCTTGAGGTATCTATGGTTGTTAACAATAATGTAATCCTTTAAGAGTGACTAGATATCAAAATATGTCCCCCAAGGCAGTTTCCTCTGTTCATTACATCTCTGACGGCGTAAACAAAATAAAAATAACTATATGAAACTTGTTTTGTAATGCCAGCACCATATCTTCAGGGAATTCAGAAATAACCACTGGTGTCCAAAATATTTTTGAAACCTTCTGTGCCTGTTTGGTAGTATGATAGTAATTTGATTTTTATTATCATGAATTATTCAGTTATGTATTACCTGTTGTAAATTTATATATTTTCTCCTAGTTTGCTAGTAGTCTTTAAGGAGATCTAAAGCTTCTTGTTCCCAAACTATATAAAATGTCGTCAGCATTTCTACTGTGAACAATATGCCGCAAAATGAAAGACCCATCTTGCAAGGCAGTGTACACATGCAGAGCGGTGATACAGGAACTGGCCATTGTAATGGTGTGTCAGCATGATGCTGATGTTGTGGTTTAGTTTAAAGGCACCTTGCTGCAATTTCATGTAGGTGGTCTACGTCTGAGCTAACGGATGTCACTGTCATGTATGCCTGTAACATGATATGTAGAGATGGTTGGTTATCTCTTTTCTTTCTCCCCGTCTTTCTCAAAGCCACCATGTTTGCAGAAAGCATGGGATTTCCAAGTGAAGACCTGACTACACAGAAATCTCTTTCGATATATTTAAAGTGGCTTAATCAAAAATGTCAGCCAAACTTCTGGAAGGTAGACTACAACTTTTTTTTTACCCCTCTATAGCCCTAGTTGATTGCATTACTGTTTACAGAAGAATTTTTTCATAAGGTTAAAAATCAAGGCCTTGGTATCAGTATCTGCAATTGCAGCATTTGTTTGGTATGCCTGTTGTGAAGCGATCTCTCGTAGTGGCCTTTTACACCTTTTGAAGGCTTACTGAGAGAGGGTCAGTCTTCCTTTAAAGGGCTGATAATGCTACTGTATGACTTCTTGTTGCAGTTAGAGAAACCTAAGACCTTTTCTTATCAAGCCGAATGGCAGATTGATTGTGGTTGCAATCTCACGGAATAGCAATGGCAAAAAGTATGGAATTCTTGATCAATATTCGCATCCAATACTTTAAACTTGTAACACGTTGGTATCTGACACCTGCCAGGCTTGCACAGATTCATCATTCAAACAAACCACATTGTTGGAAGTTGTGTGGCACTCATGCTGACTACATTCATTGTTGGTGGTCATGTGATTACGTTCAAGCCTTTTGGCATCAAGTTGAGAATCATATTTTTGTGATCACAGGGCACAGATCGTCCAGAAGTGTTATTACTTAATATAGGGCTTGATATACCATGGTCCACATCAAGGCTTATGGAATTCTTGTTTGTGGCGGCTAGAATAGCTATAGCCTCTCGATGGAAAGCTAAGCATCCACCCACAATTGAATTGTGGTTCAATAAACTATGGAATATTTATATTATGGAGAAGATAGCATATCATACTAACAGTTGTATAGACTCTGGGGAAGACTGTTCAGATTTTGTGGAAATATAGTGGCCGTATCTAAACTATATGGTCTCTGAAGATAAACTGTCGGATACCTTCTTGCTGGTAGATGTATTTACTCTCGAATATTCTTAAATATGTTATTAACTTTGCTATGTTTTTGTGTGTCTTTACTGGAATATGGCTTTGTAGTAGTTATTGTTGCTGCATGTATAATTGTTTATTACTGTATTCACTTGGTTTACAAAGAATAAAAGCAATGTAATTTTTTAGAAAAAGGTTAAAAATCAAATAGTATCAGGTGGGTAGCCATGTTGGTCTGAAGCAGCAGAGCAAAGTTTGAGTCCAGTGGCACCTTAAAGGCCAACAAAATTTTATTCAAGGTATAAACTTTCATGTGCAAGGACACTGGTTTCTGAAGAAGTGTGCTTGCACACAGTAACTGGCCGGAGGATTCATCTGCAGGCTGGATCAGTCGTGTTCCGACGGCATGTATTCTTGTCGGCTGGCTGATGTTGTGCTGCCACACTGCCACTGCCTGGCCGACTCGCTCCACTGCAGGGATGCCGAAACAGATCTTTCATCTTTTGATCTTGCCGTGCCACAGAAGTCACACTCGGCAGCTAACACCTTCCCAAAGGGAGTGGTGTGCCCACCCCCTTATGGGTGGTCCCCAATTTATCTACTTGCTGAAGCTTTCGAATCGCTGGGTAGACGATGAGCTAGGACAAGGCTTGGTTGCTCCAATAGTATGTCATTTATACATCCAAGAAATAATTTCTGGATTTAGCTTTCATTTGGACTTGGTATGGATATCTGCAGTCTGATTTGCAAAATTTTGTTATGTTTGAATATAGTTATAATTTGTCATTGGAAAATGATCAAGGAAGTATAATCATATGTTATAGGAGGAGGTGGGCCCGTAGCTATGGTGAGGCATCTCGGGGCCATGAACCCCTTAATTTATAGCCATATTCCACAAGGTTCTCTGAAGAAGGATAGCAGTTATTAAAATTAAAGTGCTTGCACCAGTTGCCAAAGGAAGGAGAGAATAAGATGCTTCCCAGGAACTGTAGCTACAGGAAATAGCCCTTTGCTGAACCACTCCAAAGGAGATGGACATACTTTAAGTAATATTCAGGAGCTGTTTGCGCTCCTCTTTAATTGTCTTACCACCAGCTGGATCAGGAGTAGCCACTGATGTTCTTGGCTTCTGAACTTTTATCAGTCCTTGCTTTTTCAAGCAAGTGATGTCGTGATAATGGGTTATAAAGACAGATTCTCCACTCCCCACTTTCTTTCAAGAGTCTTTCCTACTTAGGGCTTTTAATTGGATCCCCTTTGGGAACAAACTAAAGACGTCTACTTTCTCCCATTTATCACTTCCATCCTTCACCATTGTACCTTACATGCTTCCCTTTCAGTATGGAGCTTTCTAGTTGCTTTAAGTTGACATGCTTAGAATTAGGGTTTGTGAAGTCACTGGGAACAGTTTATTTCCTCAGTTGTTTGTTTTGTTTTGTTTTGTTTTGTACATGTATGTGGTGTGCTGTTTCATTTTGATCATCTTGGTAATCCTGAAGTGTATAAATGCCAGTTCCATGCAGAAAGCAGTATGATGAGGACATCTTACATTATGGCTGCAATCCTAAACTAGTTTATTTGGAAGGAGGAGAACACTGAAATCCAGAACTTCTGCATATAGAAGTTCTGCACAAGTATATTTTTTGAATCTTCAATTTGACATTCTCAATTACGTTGGCATGCTATGATGCACAAAAACATCAAAAGGATTAAGTCTGAAACCAGATCCCCCCCCCTTTTGATGAAACACATTTTAAGTGGGAGGCAGCAGTGCCAGATGTGATGCGGGAAAACTGTGTGTAATCGCACAAGCAGAATCATCTCTTCCTCCATAGCCAGACAAACTTGAGCCAAACTGGCAAATAATTGAAAATGCCAAAAATATATCACCAGAATCTCTACCACCATTATTGTATACTTGAGTTGGGAGCAAATTGTGATTATACAGAATAGGTTTTCTTACTTGCTGCCTGTGAAAATGCCACATCTGGGGCTGTCTCCTGCGTGTTATTCCATAGGAAACACAAGGCATGCAGTGCCCTGTTAAGAAACCAAGATCACTGGAGAGACATTGGAAGGCTTGCAAGGGCAAATTTGAGTTTGCTAAACTACAAAAGTCCTTGTTACTTTAGTTGAGTCACCAATGAAGGGAGAACAAAGGAGTCTTGCAGTTTGTGAAGTGTGTGCAGTGGGAAAGTGGTAAGTTGAGTTATGAGGCTTGAGTCCTACAGAGACTAGCAGTGTAGCTTTAAATATATGCAAGTTGTCTTATCATAACCAGTAGGGATGCTCGTAAGGCTTGGGAAGAACTGATCTTAAATTACAGCTGTAGGTGGTAAGAAATATTGTCATGCTGGTTTTTTGCACATATTTTATTTCTCTTCTGGCTATTCATTGCAGGACACATTTGCAAATCACATAACAACATGAGATCTGAGAGGGTTTTTTGTAACTGAAGTGTTTCAGTATTGAGTGACTCTAAATTGAGATATATGCTTTTGTCTGTTCTTTGTTTAAAAGCATCGGAACTACAGTAATTTGCTTTCAACAAAACTTTGTTCTTGGCATATATAAGAAGCTTAGATTATCCTTTTAGTATGGAAATTGGCTTCTATTTTTTGACTTCCAAAAAGATTCAGGTTTGTGAGATGCCTTTGTCTTTCTTAAAGATTTAATGTGAATAAAACTTTGATTGCAGAATGTTACGCCGGATGCTTCAAAATCATGTGGACCGTACAAACAGACTGAAGATTTTAGTAGAGAAGAGAAAAACATCTTGGAGAAAACAGTCCACGTTCATAATCATGATACTATTGGTATATTATTCTGCAACTGTTCCATGCAGTCAAACTTAGTTCTTTATGTCATACTTGAGAGGCCTGACTAATGTGATGTAATTTTATGTAAGATGCAGATAACAGGATATTCATTCCCTGCTTTTCCCCCCCTGGAGGGACCCAAAGTGGCTTGGTTGCAACAATACAATTTAAATAAAACAAAAAATAACTGGCTGTATCTTAGGCTGATGCTGGATCTGATGAGCCAAGGTCACAGGGCATAAGCCAAGAGCTCTTTGCGTTTTGTCCTCTGTCTCTGTCCAAGGCTCATACCTCTGGCCATGCCTAAACTTTGTACTTGGAGACAGGAAGAGCAAACAAAAGCACAGGTTAGATGTTAAAGCTGGCAGGATCGCTCCTCCCACTCTGACTTTCCTGATCTAGGCCCTTGTGGAATTAGTAGATACACAAGAGAACATCAGTGATGCAGCAATATATGGACTTAGCCGCTTGGTATTTAGATATTGTGGTCACCTTAGTTTATACTTCTCTATTTAGTTTGAGACTCTGGACTACTGGCACCCTGTTTCTTTCAAATCTCAGGAAAACAATTTTAGAGGATGGCCTTGTTGGTTGCAGTAGAACAGCTAGAGCTGAGTCCAGTAGCACCTTAGGGACCAACAAGATTTTGAGACTCCACGCTTTTAAGAGTCACCACCACTGCTCTCAGCTCAGACCAGCTCAGTGCATCATTATCAACCTATGCTGAACAATGGTACTCCTTCTCTTGCCCACAGACAGCTTTCTAACCTTAAACAGCTTTTCACCCACAACAATGCACTTCCCAATATGGACAAGGACTCTGGGTCCAGGACCTGCAACAAGCCAAGATAGCAACTCTGTCCCCATATTCAGTCTGGCAACACAATCATTGGACTTAACAACACAAGCCATTACATCTCAGGATCACTTACTTTTTCATCTTCCAATGTTATATATGCCATCAAATGTCAACAATGCCTTTCCACTCTCTACATCAGACTGTCACACATGTCATCCCCTACACACAAAAGAATAGATGGGTGTGAATATGCCATTAAAAATCACAACACTCAAAAAACAGTGGAAGAACATTTTAATCTTGCAGGATATTCCATTACTGATCTAAGAGTGGCAGTCTTCAGAGAAAAACTTCAAGGGGAGATTGCTTAATTTAAATTCATTCACAGATTCAGAATAATGACACACACACCCCCGAGCTGAATGACGTAGGATTCTTATCTCACTACAAATGCTTATTTTCTGCCCCTAAACACTTCTCCTCTGCTCTAATCCAGGTGATTCCAATGTGCATTATACCTTTGCATCCTGTGTCCCTTCTTTGCAGCACCCACCTTCTGACTGAAATATAAGGACTCCAAAATCTCCATTCAAATTTGTATCTGTTGAAGGGAGCTATGACTCTCGAAAGCTTGTTCCCCCCAAAAAAACAACAACAGGGTCTCCGTTAATTATTGTTAGCATCCCACAATTAAGAAGAATACATTTACACATCAGTCTCCAATTCTGGCATATTTATTTGCTTCACTGTGTTTCCCCCTCAAGAATTAAATCCAAACAAATGGTGACCATATAAACTTAGCTTGTTATTTCTGTTTGCTCCTCACATCTGTTAAAACATGTTCATTATGTTGTATGCTAATTTGCTGTCCACCCTCTACATACATACATTGTATTTATATCCCACCCTGAACCCATTTGTGGGATGGGCAGGATATAAATACAATAAATAAATATGGACTGATAACTTCCATTTCAGTGTATCTGGTGAAGTGTGCATACACACAAAAGCTCATACCTTGACTAAAACTTTTGTTGGTCTTAAACGTGCCACTTCACTCAAACTTTGTTCTAACCCCCCACCACCACCTTGTTTGTCTCCATGGTGCCACTGGACTCAAATCTAGCCGTCCTAATAAAATAAGGCAGAGTTTGCATTAGGGGAACATGGTAGATATGGCTCTAAATTGTGAAGGCCTACTGTAGGTAGAATATATTTCTGTGTGGTGTCATGATCCTTTTGCCCTTTTTAAAATGTTGTGTGATAAAGCTGCTGGAGTGGAGAATAAAAAGAGGACAGATACCTGAGGAAAGGGAGATTTTTAACCTTTTCCTCTCTCCCTAAAAATCACTAACTGTTCCCAAGTTTCTCTTTCCTCACTTTGGAGAAAACATGCGTGCGCCTGTTGGTGTTCCCCACTGAGGACAAAAACAGGTGGGGGCAGATAGATGTTCAGCAGTATAATGGGGGAAAGTGTTCAGTTAATCTCCTCGCCCTTTGCACCAGTTTTTGCCTTTAAATTGCAGCCCTAGTGGCTTCATTCTGTTTGGGTTTTTTCCCCCAAACAAAAACTTAGTAAAACATATTGCTTGCTCAAGACCTTCAGACAGAGGAGCGTAATAATAAAGAAAAGGTAAAACATACTGTGAGAACAAAACACAAGATGTGGTTCCATTCTTAGTTTTCAGGCTAGAACTCTGCATCTCTTTTTGCTGAGAGTACATCGAGGTAGCCCTTGACGCTTTACAGTGACTGGATTCTCATAGCATACTTTCCAAAACTACATAGATGGGGCAAATCTTTCCCAATACCAAGCTCAGGTTCACCCTGGGAAAAGTTTACTAAAGGACAGGGGCTTTTCTGGGTTTGGTCTCTGCCATCTGCATAGCAATTATATATGGAATTTACAGAAGCACCTAAGTGACTTGGGAGCACATGTGTCATTGACAGTCTCTTAAGGAGACACTTCTAGTGTGATTAAATTTGAAATCACCAAGCAATTAGCACTTTAAAAATGTCAAATGCTAAAGCTCTTACTAGGGCGTGTCCCCATGAACACTCACACCTTGGCAGCTTGCCTGAGCCCGTAGTCTCACAACCATAGTTTTCTTTTTAAAAAAATATGACTGGCTGTGAAGGAGCAGGATCTGAATGGGACAGTGTAGCATTAATGAGGCATGTTGCCTGCTGCAGGCAACCGCCCATTTGCTCAGTTTGTGTTCTCCCAGCAGTAAGGGTGACATTCATCCAGTCATCCACAGTCTTGGCAGAGGAAGACTTTCCTGCATCCCTCTCTTGCTGCAGCCCACTGCGCCTTTTGTTCCTGGAAGTCAGAGTATGGTCCTGGCCATTGCTGCCGAGCCGGGTCAGGGTACCTGCAGCAGGCTGGGAGGAGGTCTAGCCTCCATGGGCTCAAGAAAAGTCAGAAAGTGCTGGGGTTAGCAACAAGTAAGTCCTTACTGGCAGCTGGCCACTACTACATGTTTCCAAGCATAGCACCAAGGGCAGTTCCATCACTCCCTGGCTCCGTTGGCAGCTTGTTTTGTGCTGCGCTGCTCTGGCCTATGCCTTTCAAGTTCTCTGCCTCCCAGCTTCTGCGTAGGACCTCCTTTAAGTCCCTCCCCAACAGCTGACCTTGCCTGGGATAATTACTGCATGCCACCCTGTTCATTCCAAGCCACCCCTGCAGTCCCAGCCTTTTATGGGTAATCTTGTCGGATCTCAGAAACTAAGCCAGATTGCCCCTGGCTAGTATTAGGCTGGGAGATCTCCAAGGAATATCAGGGCTGTGACGTGGAGGCAGGTAATGGCAAGCCACCTCTGAGCGTCTCTTGCCTTGAAAACCATTTGGGGTTGCCATAAGTCAGCTGGGACTTGACAGCACTTTCCACCACTAATATGGCCAAGCCGCTGTGCGCCACATTGTGTGTGTGTCCAGCCAAGGGTGGCCTATGGTCCTGCTGGCTTCATCTGGGCCAGAAACGTATCCTCATCCTCCCCTTGAGTTGGTTGCCCACTGGGGCATATAGAGGACACTCAGGAAGAACATCAGTGGCAAAGTACAGGTCTGCAGTGGTCCACAAAAATTGCTGCCCCTGCTTCCAAAAATGAAAATGCCTTTCTTTTGTAGGAAATGCTTTGTACGTATTGGACATCCAGTCAGTTCTTTGTTCATGGAACTTTCTCCTACCTGATAGCCACTTGCATAAACAGTCTAGGCTTGCTTCTAGAAATCAAGAAAACTTTTCTTGACGTCTGCTCCTTTTGTTGCAAGAATTGAATTATTATGGCGCTGCCAATTCAAAACTAAGTGGACAAAACTCAAACTATTGTAACATTTCTGAAGGCCAGACAAGATGTGACTGGTGGGGGAATGCATGAATTGGTTTCCTGAGTGTTTTTACTGGGAAATAGTGTGTGTGTGTGTGTGTGTAGATTAGGGATTCAGCACAAGCATGGGTGGGGGAAAGTAATGCATTCCTCCCATTGTATTTCCTAATTTCAGTCAATCCCCATAGCTACTTTTTCCCCTTAGATAGAGGAGGGGGTCTGTATGTTTATGCCAATAGGCCAAATATAATGTCCAGGAGCCTTCTGGATATAGAGAAACCAGATAAACCTCTCTCCCTCCATGCTGTAGCCCTGATTTGAATCCATTCTATACATCATTATGGTGACTGTCCTCTTCCTCATGGTATGCTGCACATAGCTGTAATTCTGCTTCATCCTATGCATATATATACATATTGGCCATCAAGTCACAGCTGACTTACAGGGACCCCATGAGGTTTTCAAGGCCAGAGACGTTCAGAAGTGGTTTGCCATTATGTCCCTCTGCATCATGACCCTGGTATTCCTTGGTGGTCTCCCATCCAAATACTGACCAGGGCTGATCCTGCTTAGCTTCCAAGATATGGCAAGATCAGATTCACTCTTTTTTTCTTTTGTAGGTATGATTGTGATTGGTCAAAATGGAAGCATTGCTGCAGGGACATCTACAAATGGTGCTGTCCACAAAATCCAGGGGTTTGTATTTGTCATGATATAATTGTTGATTGTGTATACATTTAAATATTTTTCTTAGCCAAATTGTAAGGCTAACAGATCCTTGCACTATGTATATAATGGAGGTGCATTTTATATAACTATGGAAGAAAGAAATGTTCATGAAGAATCACTAACTTGGTTCATGAAGAATCACTAACTTATTATCCAGCAACTATTACTTGTTACAACAGTTTATTCTTTAGGACTGCCTTGAAGTCAACTGGTATATGCTAGTGGTTTTTGCTAAAAGTCCCAATTTCACATCCAACCGACCATACATTCACTGACTAGACAGACCTTAAGCAAGCATTTGTCTTTTACGTTCGGACCCAGATCTCTCATTTATAATAAGGGGGTTCTTACTGACCTAGTTTACAGAGTTGTCATGAAATGTTTTAATCTAGGTTAATGATTATGGCAATGGAACCATGTCAATATCAAAAATAAGGGAATTGTTTCCCAGTACAGGAGAACCAAAGGGGGTGACTTACAGGTTAAGATGCTGAGCTGCAGACCAGAAGGTCTGTAGGTCAGCAGTTCGAGACCCTAGTGCCGCATGACAGAGTGAGCGCCCGTCTCTGGCCCCCGCTCCTGCCAACCTAGCAGTGCGAAAGCAAGAAATTGCAAGTAGATAAATAGGTACTGCTTTGGTGGGAAGGTAACAGCGTTCCGTGTGCCTTAGCATTTAGTCATGCTGGCCACATGACCATGGAAACTGCCTTCAGACAGTGCTGGCTCTTCGGCTTGGAAACGGAGATGAGCACTGCCCCCTAGAGTTGGATTTGACTAGCTTTCAAACAAGGGAAACCTTTACAGGCAACCCAAACTTGTCATTAAGTACTGAGACTTGGATCTAGTTCTCATTCAGTTTTCAAACTACCATTTCAGGCTGCAGGTAGGGGCACACATGATTTAATGTGCTGCCATAAAGAAACAAGCAAAAAAAACCTGGAATCCTTTTTGCTAATATCTAGTCTATCTGGAAGAGTGTTTTCTTTGGATGAGTGTTTGGTAACATGAGTGACCTGCAACCTAAACTGGTAAGACCCCAACAAAGAAGTTCTGCCTCACAGAGAACTCATCCTACAGCTTTCTTACATGTGAAGTACCAAAATTGTACTCATTAACCAAATACTCTATTAACATTATTTTCCTTCCCCTGGTTTAGACGTGTGGGTGACTCTCCCATAGCTGGAGCTGGAGCATATGCTGATAGCACAGCTGGAGCAGCTGCTGCCACTGGAGATGGTGACGTTATGATGCGCTTCTTGCCCAGGTTTTTAATTTTATGATGTTTGAGAGAAGGCACCTTTCATATCGTTTGGGGGAGATTCTGGGTGAAGAAGGAATTGTTTTCTCACTGGGTTCCCAGTTAAAATTCAGACAGCCATAACAACTAAAAAATGGTAGACATGCTTGCTTGATTACTGGAGTATGAGTTTCCATTCCTCATTTTTGCTATACAGTCTCTTTCCTCTAACAAATGAGCCTGTGTGCTTTTCATGGTTAATACAGTCTCCCTCCCAGCTTCAGAGGTGGGTTATTCTTTTATGAAGCAAAATGATCCCTGTACAGATGAACATCTTCTGTTGTGTGCATGGAATACGGACCTTATTTTCCAATGATTTTAAGAAAGATTTAAATATCCAGTTATGTATGGGGAAGGCTCCTTTCATAACTGCCATGAGATGCATGTGTTTATTTATACTTGGTTATCAGAATTCATGTCTATTTCTGATGGAAAGAATTATTCATGGCAAGTTAGAAGATGAACTGGATCCAATTTGCAGTGAATTTCTAGTTTCCTAATAAATTTGTTTTTAGCTAAAAGTTTGACAATAAATTAACAGTGCGCTCCTGTACAAAGTTGCTCCAGTCTATATCCACTGAAAGTAATAAACAGACTGGACTAAATCTGCAAAGTATCGCACCGTTAAGTGTCTCAGCAGATAATCTGTAAGGCCTCCATTTTCAGAGGTAATGGCCAGACTTAATAGATACACCTTACTATGAGGAATCTTGTCAATCTGACATTTGTAGCTTTGAATCAAAATCTCTTTTTCTTAAGACCAAGATGGTTCATCTTCTTGCATTTTTGGAGAGCCAGTATAGTACAGCCATTACCATGTCATATTAGGACAGGGATATCCCGCTCAACTGGCTGGAGGCAAGTCCCAGGCCACAACCGGTCTCTCAGCAAGGGTTTCTAGGGCTTCAATCCAAAGTGAAAGTCCAGGGTTCAGTAGCACAGTCCAGAATCATAATGCAAAAGTAGTCCAAGGTCAGGTAGCAGGGTTCCAAGAGCTTAAACAAAGCAGGCCACTGGTAGGCTCATCAGCAAGGTTGCACGCAAGTTGATCCCACGCTGGCTGCAGCCTTATATAGGGTGCTTCCCTACAGGTGTTGCTGGGTCCTGTGTTAGGCTTCTCCCTGCAGGCTGAGTTTGTTTGTTTGTTTAATTTATATACCGCCCTCCCCGTGGGCAGGCTCAGGGCAGTTTCCAACAATTTTTAATATAATACCATTAAAACAACCATTAAAATACAATTTAAAACAGCTGGAAAAGTTGGCTCCCCTACTGATGAGGAGTACTGGGGCCCAGACCCTGTGGTGACTTATCGGTCTCTTCTTCCATTTCTTTAGCAGAGGGGAGGCCTCAGGCAGCCAAGCATGCACTCCTGCACCTGGTCCATGCCTCAGCCCTAGCCTTTTACCTCCTCTGCTCCTGGGGTGCTTTGGGAGACTGTGATGGTTTAGTTGTGAGCAAGTCCATACTGGGGCCTCCAGGCCTTAAAGCCCTGCTGGTTTGCGGGGGGGGCAGTGCTGGTGCTGGACCAGGGTCCCTGGGGGGGTGGGAAGCACTGGGAAGTCCATCTCACTGGGAGGGTCTGCCAAGGTGGGGCTTGGGGGCAGGTTGTCCTCCTCCTCCAAGGTCTCCTCTTTCCATGCTAACCCAGGGCAGTCCATGTCATGGGGAGACCCAAATCCCAGTCCTTACTCAGCCATGACGCTCAATGGGCAACCTTGGGCCAGTTATTGTCTTATGTCTCAGCCTAAACAATTTCACAGGGTTGTTGTAAAGATAAAATGGATGATGGGAAATCTGTGTATGCTGCTCTGAGCTTCTTGAGTAGAAATGTAAAATTGTTTGTGAAAAAGGTTTGTGGGATGGTATGGTGATTCCTTAGTATCTCACCCTTCTTTTTCCTAAAAAGAGTGGTTCTCATATATAAATTCCTGTTAAAAGAACCAGGTGATTTTGCAAAGGGCTCCAGGGAGTACTAGCAACTCCACTCAAGTTCCCTTTCATAAGTTGTGTTTATTAATGGAGAAGGTTTGAAAAATTGTTTGCTTGATTGGGGCGAGGGGAGTTGCCTCTGGGACGGTTTGAGAATGCTTGTCTATTCATTTACCTTAAATCAGCTATCAAGCCGTGGAATATATGAGAACAGGAATGGAGCCAACGGTGGCATGCCAGAAAGTTATTTCTAGAATTCGGAAGTATGTCCCATTCTTCTTCGGTGCTGTTATCTGTGCCAATACAAGTGGAAGCTACGGTATGGTTACAACATTTTCTCCCGTTTTCATTTTACATTTGTGTAAGTTAGCAAAATGTTGATTCTCCATATATCCTCTGTTTGTCACATAAGTTGAGGTATGACTGTGACTCCTATGAAATTGTTCAAACAATGTTCACACTCTCATTGGAAAATAATATGTGACTGCAATGACTTCAAAGCAGTCAGAGATCAGTCGTGCTGGGTGACTCATTAGCTGGCCGCTAGATCAGCCAGAAGTATCATTTTGCTAATCAATATGGCTTATTGGGTTAGGCTGCTTATTTGGAGTTCTTTTATCTTTGATTTCCCACAGTTCTGTGTTTGAAAGATTAGAGATGCAAGGACTCATTACATTTCCTGGTATTAAGATGTAAATTTAAAACAAAATATATTAAACTTTGAATTATATTTTAGGGATATGAGGTCCAGGGAGCTGCTTGGAGGCACTTTCTTCTTCAAAGATTAAAAAAGAGACCTTTAAAAGCAACCTCAGTGCTGAGTTAATTAAGGCTATAAAAGAACAATTACACCATTGTAGTCGAGTTATTAGTGGAATCCTTAGATGTTAGAAAAGACAAGGAGACAGATTAATGCGTCTCTCATAGTTTGCTCTCTTTATTTTCTTATCTTTCCCCTTCCTGCCACAGGTGCTGCCTGCAATAAAGTTCCAGGATTCACACAATTTCATTTCATGGCTTCTAATCCCACTTTGAGGCAACCATCTGAACAAATAGTAGACTGCATTTGACACTGTTTTCTTCTTAACATTAGTATTTACATGGAATAGTTGAAGAAAGAATGAAGCTTTGGGGCTTCCATGTTTACAAAAAAAAGTTTGCACACTTTTATGTTCTGTTTAAGATGGTAACTTTGGAAGACCTTGACAGAATCACTTGCCCACTTTCCAGGCCTGTAGCCAGGAATTTTTAAGTTGGGGGGCATTTTAATTTCTCGGGGGGCACTGATTAATTTAATTAATCCCCCCCCCTCCGTCGGGGCCACTGCCAGCCAGGCTGCTCCCCCCAACCTTTCTTTGTCGTCATCAGTGGTGCCGGGTTGCAGGAGGCAACCTCTGGCTTTGCAAGGCTGGCTGGGCTGGCAGTGGGGTGGCAAGGAGGGAAGGGAAGGTGGGAGCATCGAGGGAACATACCAGGAGTGCTGAGCAGAGCTGGCCTGGCTCCTCTGGGCATAGCATGCTCTGCTCGCTCATGCCCTTGTCACCTTCGGGAGACTCTCGCGGTGCAGGCGGGCCCCTGGAAGCCACTGGAATACTGCGTTGGGAGGGTTGGCCCGGTGGTTGCGGCTGGCGCCGGCTGTGCAGTAGAAGGACAGAAGGAAGGCGAGCGGCCGGAGTTTGGAGGCCCAACTGTCTCCTGTGCCTCCTGGTTGGAACAGCTTCCCCGATGGAGCTCTGCACAGGAAGGGGGGAATTGGCGGGGCGGGGGGGGTGGTTGAGTTTTATTTCCCACCTGAAAGGGAGAAGGTGGCTTCAGCACAGGGGCATCCTTCAGTGAGAAAGAATCCAAGACAGAGTCATGCTGCCTGGCTAGGAAGATGCTACTTTATGCCTCCCCCACCTGCCTCCCTGACAGCCAAGTCACAGCCCCTCCGGCGGCCACCATGGTTTTCAGGGGCCCACCTGCACCGCGAGAGGCTCCCGAAGGTGACGAGGGCATGAGTGAGCAGAGCACACTATGCCCAGAGGAGCCCCGGGCCGGCTCCGCTCAGCACTCCTGGTATGTTCCCTTCCCTCCTTGGCACCCCACTGCCGGCCCAGCCGGCCTTGCAAAGCCAGAGGTTGCCTCCTGCAACCCAGCACCACTGATGACGACAGAAAGGTGGGGGGGCAGCCTGGCTGGCAGCGCCCCAATGGAGGGGGAGGATTAATTAAATTAGCCCGAGTTATGGAGGTGGGGAGCCTCTTGTCCAGGGATGGAGTTGGGGGGCATTTGAAGGGGCTTTTGAGGTAGGTCAGGGGGGGCTCCAAATGCCCCACCATAGCTACGGGCCTGCTGCTTTCTGAACTTGTTTGTTGTACCTTCCTGCACATTTCATAATTACTTAAGTATTGTAACCAGAAAGAAAGAAACTGCTTAATCAGTAGCCACTTGGCACAAATTTACCCCCCCCCCCCCGCATTTATAGGAAAACTGTGCAAATGAGCACCACCGTAAAGTCACAAAACAGTCTTTCCGGGGGTGATCTGTATCAGCTGACCATTTGGAAAGATCTAGAAATGTATTTTCTGTATTTGAATGAGGAATACTTCTGGGTAAAACCCCTGAAATGGGACACATGTTGAGTGTGGCCATTGCTGCAGTTCTCTCTGGAAGTGCAGTTTTGTAACAAAACAAAGGAGAAAAGAGCTTGATTGGGCAGTATTGTAGTAGCCACAATTAACACTTTATCTAAGCTTACACATCCATCTATGTTGCTTTGGTTCGCGGATATAAGGAGCCCATCTGTCAATGTATGACTGACAGGTCACGAAAAATTGGCAAGACACTTTACCTTAATTGAATATTTCTTTTTTAACCGCACAAAACACTTAACAAATTATACATGCCAAAATAAAACTTTCTTTGTGATAACTTGAACAATAATATATTGCCCCCTTTTATGCAGAAACAAATGAAGCGCAAGATTTTTCCAGCTGTTTTTTTCTCCTTGAATTTCTAATTGTTAGGATTTTTTCCCTTACTATGTTTTCTCTAAATCTTACCATGCCACAGTAAGTTTAATATTTCAGATTTACTGATGTGTTGTAACACTCAGGGGATAACCTCAGGCCAGTTACTGTAACTCAGCCTAATTTAGTTTATAGATTTGTTGTAAGAAGGAGAGAAGTTGGTTTTATACCCCGTTCTTCACTACCCGAAGGAGTCTCAGAGCGGCTTACAATCGCCTTCCCTTCGTCTCCCCACAACAGACACCATGTGGGGTAGGTGGGGCTGAGACAGTTCTGAGAGAACTATGACTGACCCAAGGTCACCCAGCTGGCTGCATGTGGAGGAGTGGGGAATCAAACCTGGTTCTCCAGATTAGAGTCCACCGCTCTTAACCACTACACCAAGCTGGCAATTAAATCAGGTAGCCAGAGTAAGATGTACCAAGTGACTTGAAGAAAAAATATCATACAAATGTACCAACTAATCTGCTGTGCCACATAAAGTCATTCTTCAGATACATGTTTATTATTTTCTTTGCACTTTTTACCCAAGTGAAGCAAAGCATTCCCCACCATTCCTTCTCGTGAACATTTCAAATCATAGGCATTAAATCATAGAAAACAAACTCCAAAATGTCTTTCAAACCCACTGACCTTAAACCTGTAGAATCATGCCTGAGACCAACATAAGGTCATTCTGACTCAGATGCAAGGCTTTGTGCTGTGCTTCTTACAAATGTTCAAGTTTATTATTATGATCCAAGGTCAGAATTTGAAGCGGCATACTGGCTTTCGAGCAAGGGAACCTTTACCTTTACCTTTTTATGCATCGATATGTGGCAAATACATTGATTACCTGTCTACATATACCTGAGCATTTAATGTGAATATGTGCTAAGTATTTAGCACATATTCTTGCAAATGTTCACCAATAGCAGCTGGATCTGCAGCACATTCCTCCTGTCATCCTTCCCAGATTGCTGGGGTCTGAGACCAAAATAGATAATATATGGACATAAACTGGTATTACTTTAGTCTTATGAGCCACTTAACTGCCCTTGCAAAAAGACCCAGGGATGCCTCCATAGCAACTTTAATCTTGAATGTATGTGTTCTGAATTTTTGGGCAAACAGCCCCAATTGCCTGAGTCTTTGTTTCAGCAGTCCCCAGCGAGGTACCTGTGGGTACCCTGGCACCTGCTAAAACCTTTCCTGGTGCCTGCCAAGTGCTTTTAGAAAGTGAGCACGGCCAGGTGAAGCTTTTGCCCAGCAAGGCTTCTAATTGGTCACTGGAGGATTGATTGTCTGTGCAGATTTATAAAAATGTTGCTTTGGCAGTAGCCACCACAACACGAGGATCTTTACTGACCAAAGGTCAGCCGCAGCAGCTGTTTTGTGCCTGGCTGCACTTCCTTTCTGTCTCCAAGTACACCAGTACCATTTAGCCCATTTCCTCTTTTCCCTCAGTATGGGGAGCTGGGCGCTGTTCCTTTCAGTTCCTGAGCTCATATCTGTTCAACACTGGTTAGCATAAATACCCAAACAGAATGTGTTTGCAGTTCTTATGTTCAAAGAACACTCTTCTTGTTCTTCTGTTTGTCAGTATCAACAGTCAAGGTTCATTTACCGCTCCGTGTTTAGAGAATATATTCCTTGGCTGATTCACTTTGTCATGTTCTTCTCAATTATCTGAACATTTTTATATCAATTATGTCAGAATTCCAAATGTGCTTGCAGGCTGATAAAGGTTGAAGACCCTTGCCATACTTGATCAGTATCCAGCCCAAATACCTACTTGGTGACACACAGCCCTCATTCTCTAGCCCCCAGATTTGGTGACGGGTATTTATGGACACATCCTTTCTGTCTCCAAGGACACCAGTATCATTTAGCCCATTTCCTCTTTTCCCTCAGTATGGGGAGCTGGGCGCTGTTCCTTTCAGTTCCTGAGCTCATATCTGTTCAACACTGGTTAGCATAAATACCCAAACAGAATGTGTTTGCAGTTCTTATGTTCAAAGAACACTCTTCTTGTTCTTCTGTTTGTCAGTATCAACAGTCAAGGTTCATTTACCGCTCCGTGTTTAGAGAATATATTCTTTGGCTGATTCACTTTGTCATATTCTTGTCAATTATCTGAATTTTTTTATATCAATTAGATAAAATTATGTCAATTATATTAAAAAACAGTGTTTGATTTTAGGACCATTTCTTGTAGGGGGAAAGCCCTCCCTACAGCCTCTCTTTTGAAAACTGTTGTATGGTGTCTGTGTTCTGTAAATGTTGCTGGGGTTGTTAAAGGTCTTTGATCTTCCTTTCAACATGAAAGGCTTATCTGTTCATTAAAGCTAAATATTTGGATTGATAAGGACATTACTTTAAATGAGAATTTTAATAATGATTGTGTCATTGGATTCTGGATCTTTAAAGGCTGAGATGAAGCACCCCAAATGAAAATAAATCTGCATTTCTAACTGTTTGAGTTGGAAGCTTCATTTCCCTTACTAGATGTAAAAGATATATGTAGAATTTTTTTTTTTTGCTGTGAACAGATTATAGTATATGAACACTATATCGGTTTGCTCAGATGATAAAAAATGCCTAGGATATGGTTGGAGGGCACATGCTTTGACAGAATTGTTGAAGCTAACCACAGGTCTAGGTAATGGTCAGATCAGTCTCTGGACAGGAGACTTCTGGGGTCTCTCTACAGCACTTTGAATTTCAAGATTCAGAGCTGTGTAATTGTTCTCATACATTTCTACCAACTGTCAACAGGGTTGCAAACCAGTAAGATCTAGCTCAGAGGTAATATTACTAATGACCTAATGCCTCAAAAGTTTTGAGTTTGGCAAAATAACTTAATAATGTCATAGCTGAAAGTGTGGGTTTATCATATGACTCAAGACTATATATAAAATATCCATACATCCATAGCATTAATATTACATGACTTAATTCTGAACGTGGGCCCACAGTGAAGAACATGATGGAGGGGAGGGACCTGCAGTTTTCAGGAAAATCTATAAAGGTAAAACACAGGTGAGGAGGCTAACCCGCAACCCAAACTGCAGAAACCAAACTGCACTTGCACAGACATCAATAGTCATGCTAGGTCATGAGATCTCAGCTGCACTGTGGGAGTTACCTGGCAACGCTGACAAGATTGTCACAGTATGCAGCAGCTGGGCAGAGAAGAATGGAGAACGATTCCTGGAGAGGAGAGAGGTAGTGGGGGGCAGGGGAGGAAGAAGAGGCAGTGATGGGGAGGAAGTGGGGCCTGTCC